CAGCTCAATTCATCCCAAATACCTGCCGCCTAGGAATGAATGGCACGGCTCCTGATGGGTTAGTATATAGCCACTAAAATCACACTACAAAGATGATGCTATAATTTGGGAAATACTCATGCCAAAAATGTAAAAAATAAAAATAAAAAGCAACCCCCCAAATTCTGTATGCAACACTCACATAAAAAGCACAGTAAGGAAATAAACTAAGCTGTTTAGATAGGAGTGAGACTTGGGGAATTTTTGTTCATAGTCCTCCACTTCTGTCTTACTTTTTGAGTCTGGGTCTCACTCAGGCTGGAGTGCAGTGGTATAATCACTCACTGCAGCCTTGACCTTCTTGGGCTCAAGCAATCCTTCCACCCCAGCCTCCCGAGAAGCTGGGACTATAGGCATGTGCCACTATACTTAGCTAATTTTTTATTTTTTGTAGAGACAAGGTCTCTCTATGTTGCCTAGGCTGGTCTCGAACTCCTGGGCCCAAGGGAACCTTCTGCCTTGGCTTTCCAATGTGCTGGGATTACAGGAGTGAGCCACAACTATGCCCAGCATCTCTTCTGTATTTTTATATTTTATTTCTCAACATTCTCTAAGCAAGCATTTAAAATATTTCAAACATTAACTTAGGCTTGGCCCAGTGGCTCATGCCTGTAATCCCAACAATTTGGGAGGTTGAGGCAGGTGGATCACCTGAGGCCAGGAGTTTGAGACCAGCCTGCCCAACATAGTGAAACGCTGTCTCTACTAAAAATACAAAAATTAGCCAGGCACGGTGGTGCACGACTGTAATCTCAGCTACGCAGGAGGCTGAGGCATGAGAATTGCTTGAACCCAGGAGGTGGAAGTTGCAGTGAGCCAAGATTGCACCACTGCACTCCAGCCTGGGTGAGAGAGTGACACTCTGTCTCAAAAATAAAATAAAATACACACACACACACACGCACACACACGCACACACACACACACACACACCTTAGCTTAATAACATAAATTTTCATAGATCCGTGGGTTTTTTTTGAGACAGAGTCTCATTTTGTGACCACACTGGAGTACAGTAGCGTGATCTCAGCTCACTGCAAACTCCAACTCCCGGGTTCAAGCAATTCTCCTGCCTCAACCCCCCAAGTAGCTGGGACTACAGGCATGTGCCACCATGCCCAGCTAATTTTTGTATTTTTAGTAGAAATGGGGTTTCACCATGTTGGCCAGGATAGTCTCAATCTCTTGACCTCATGATCCGTCCGCCTTGGCCTCCCAAAGTGCTGGGATTACAGGCATGAGCCATCACATCCAGCCCAAATTCCTTTAACTCTCAAACAGCCATCAGCACGAGTTATGGGAAAAGAAGACAAAACACACGTGCAACTGGTACTCACCTTGGGGGAACAACACTCAGCAGGTCCCTCTGGCTGTGAGGACAGAGACTTGGGTGGGTCTGTCATGTACCTGTGCCTCTGCCACTCTGGAACCAGCCCTTCACGACACACCCAGACCTACCTCTCCTGGAACCGCTTGGAGGGGATGAGGCCGGCTCAAAAGTTGGTGTCCCCAACTCATTTGGCCTGCCACCAGGTGGGGTCATCCTGGCTCACCATCTTTAGGACCTGCCTGCACTGGAAGGGCAGACCTGCCTCCTGGCAAGGGATGGCCTGGTCTTCCTGAGGGTTGTAGTGGAAGAGGGCACGCATGAACACTTGCACAAGGAGGGCTCAGGTGCGGAAGACTGAGCGACCTTTAGAATAGAAACCTACTTGGAACACATTGCACAGACGTTCCCTTTTTTTTTTCAGGTGGAGTCTCGCTCTGTAACCAGGCTGGAGGGCAGTAGCACAATCTCAGCTCACTGCAACCTCCGAGTTCCTGTTTCAAGCAATTCTCCTGCCTCAGCCCCTCGAGTATCTGGGATTACAGGCACATGCCACCACGCTAATTTTTTTTTTTTTGTATTTTTAGTAAAGATGTGTTTTCTCCATGTTGGCCAGGATGGTCTCAATCTCCTGACCCCATGATCTTCCTGCTTTGTCCTCCCAAAGTGTTAGGATTACAGATAAGAGCCACTGCATGTGGCCCATACATATGTTCTTAACTGTTCTTCAACCATTTGGGATACTGTAGTCAGGAAGTCCATCAAAAATCAGAAAATTAACAGACAGGTCCCATGACTGAATGTCTCTTTCCCACCTAAATATTTCCTTATTTACTTGACTAGCTGTCTTTGTAACAGCCTCTCAGCACACACACAGCAACAACTAATCCTGGGAACAAAAAGTAAAGGCAAGCACAATTTTTAACTCAAGTGTTATTTTCGATATGCCAACTGCACTGATGGGAGGTGGCAGCCATCTGTTATATAAGTAATCTAGATGTTTGGGTGAGAACACAAATATCAACAAAACTACTGTTACTGACTCCTCACCATCATTTTTCAGTGGGTAATTGATACACACAGCACTTACAGCTCAATCCTGCCTCATCTGCCATAGATCTCACCTGGGCTTTTACAAGAGCCTTTTACCCATAGATGTTACCAGGGTCCTAAGCGGCTAAGCCCAGTTCCCCGTCTACCTAGAGTCACCCTCTCTGGAGAAGATGCTGTGAGGACACAGCATTTTTCACACTTCCTTGAATTCAGTACTATGGATTAATTTTTTTATAATTCAGTGCTATGGATTAATTTTATTTATTTGCATTTTCTATAATTCAGTGCTATGGATTAATTTTATTTATTTGCATTTTCAGATCATTAGGGCCCAATCCCTTCAGTGGCAAATAAGAAAACAAAAAGCAATCAGGGGTCTTCCTCAGCCAGATAAACTGTATTCATTTATATGCCAACCAGGAAAGATTCCACTGGACAATAGTAAGAACTTTCTGGCATATGCTGTTGGGGATAAACACCCTTAACCAGCCATAGATGTTACCAGGGTCCTAAGCACTCAGAAGAGTGTAATGTTAAGTGGCCAGCCCAAATGAAGCATCTGGATCAGGAAGAAATATTCAAGAAGGATGGGCTGGGGGACAAGCTACTCATTTTGTCCTTTAGGAAAACCAAGTTCTCTTCCTCAAAGAGGGTTCCTAAGGTCAGAATCCCATGCAGATGGGGACCACATTCGCTTGTCCTAGGAAGAATCACCTTCCACCAGGTAAGAGGAAATATTATGCCCTGGGATTTAACCAAAGAGCACAAATAAGAAACATCTATATGAAGATTATTTCTTCACTTGCTGTAAAAACTGTCACTGAAGACATTGTCCGTTACTAATCCGCATTCATCAGAGTATCAACTAACATCTCCTCTGTGCCAGATGCATTAAGTACTGAGAGGCAGGTATGGGAATCAACCTTGAACAACTGGCATAGTTCCTTCCATTCTCTGCTGAACAGTATGTAATTAATTACGTTCCCCTTTTTGCCTTGGCTGCCGGGAAACTCAGATCCAAATGTACTGTGAAGTCAAAGTGATGCCCTCCTCTCTATCTCATCAACCACCATCTCACAGTTCAGGTCTTAATAATGTCTCACCTGGGCTTTTACAAGAGCCTTTTACCTGCCTTCCTGCCTCCAGCCTCTACCCATTCCACCCTCCTCCATGTGGCTGCCCCAAGGAGCTTTCTAAAACACAAATATGATTGCACCACTCCCATCCTCAAAAAAAAAAAAAAAAAAAAAACAGCAACAAGAACACCTTTAAGAGCTGATTAGAACCTATGGGATTATCTCTTGGGCTGTGGGATGCCCTCCCATATGCCCCAGGGCTGGACCATTCCGTGCAGCTTGGGCTGACTTCTAGCTGTCAGTACCTGTGTCTCTGCCTAAGGACTTACTTTCTCTGGCCACTGGAGCCTGCTCTTCTCTAATCCAGCAGGCAGAAGTTGCTAGAATTAATCCCCTGTCACAGCCTGGCAGGAGTTGGTATAGAGATCGCCCAGCTCCCAGGGCACTTGGATGGGATCATGGAGGCGTGTGTTCTAGGGGGGAAGAAGTGGTTCCCCCAGTTCCCAGCAGGACTAAGCTCCAGTTGCCCATAGTGGTAACTGGCTTGATAACACACCCTTAGTCAGATCAGCCATCTTCCCTTCCCAGTCCTGTTCTGGTGTTTCCTGGGGTCACTTCCCAAGTAAACCATCTGCATTCAAATCCTTGTCTCAGGGTCAGCTTCTAAGAGGCCCCAGACTAAGGAAGGATTATGCCAAAGCTCTTAACAAAGCACTCAAGGCCATTCAGAACACAGGCTTAACCCACCCCCCAGCAAAACCCACCACCACCCTCCCCGCCCCAAGCCCCATCACATCGCCCTTAACATGCTCCTCTCCAGCATGCCAGGGAGCTTCTGTGTGGACAGCCCCCACCAAGGTCCTACTCATCTTTACCTTCTTCAGGCCTCAGTTCCAACACTCAGTGACACCCTCTAGGGTGACTGTAACTCTTGGTACAGAATCTTGTCAAAGCACTGATCACAAAGCAATGAAAAGACTTGCTGCCCTTCTGCACCAGGAACCCTTGAAGCTACCAAGAGTCCCTGTCTCCAGCATCTGGCAGAGTGCCTGGCACAGAGTAGGTGACCAAATAAGACAGGCTCAGCAACAATTCAACAAATGGCAGTTACTTAATTGGTTCAGAATTCAGCACACTTCATACTTTCTCCTCCTCTTCATGGCCCTGAGTTTCTATTTCAATTAAAATAACCTTGTCTTTTATTAGTAAGCTATGTCAAATCCTGTTTAGAAAGAGGCGTGGTACAAATAAATGAATCACTCTGTGACGGAATTAAAGTCCTCCTCTGGGCACAGATTACTAGGACCAGATCTATGATCTGCTTCTGAATGACAGTTTCAGGAGGCTGGCCTGGCTCCAGCCCCAGCCAGCAAGCTGCATCTCTTAAGCTGAGAACGGCCACCCATGGGCCCACCTCCCCATACCTTGCTCTCCTTTAAGCAATCTTCCTCCTGGGTGGCTGGGATCATTTTTAGGGTGATGGATCCCTGGGACTGGGCCTGAAACGAGAGAGAACAAGCTTCTGGCCTGCCAGGTCTACTCCTCCATGAATTCAACTATTACTTCCCAGGCCTAAAAACTGATGCTCAGAAAGTCAGACTTGCAGCCTCCCTGAGGCCTGCCCTTCTAGGATGGTAGCCCGGTTGAATTAACTAAAGCAAAACTTAGTAACCAAGTCATTGTATGTTTTTGTATTTTTAATATTTTTAAGCCAGTTCAAATTTAGCAGTGGGGTGTTGGTAGTTGTATTTTCAAAAGACAAAGGGACGAAAGACTTTCCATGAGAACCCAAGGACACTGCGTGTTGAATTCCGATTCTCAGTCCCTTCTGACCGCTAAGGCCCCAGAGGGCTCCCTTCCTTGCTTTTCTCTTGGGGCATCTGAACAACCCATTTCAGGTATTTCCTTTTCCTTTCCCTCTCTACTACCTGATCTGGGGCTGGTCTCTGTCCCTCTTAGCTTCCATCTCCCCCAACTGCCCTCCAATCTCAGGCCACACCCAGCTTTCTAGGAGCTCCCTTCCCCCACATCTACAGAGACGCTGCAGCCCAATGCCAGGGGCCCAACATAACCAGTGGGCCTCCTCTCTTCAGATCCCATTCTGTTTCTGCCCCCCAAACCATCCGAAGTTAGCAAAGAGTATCAGGTTGTGGAAGGATTCCTGAGTACAAAGGGGACCAAGCTATGATTGGGGCTTTTCACAATTTCAGTTTTGACTCCCACTCCCCAGAAGGGACTATGGGGGTTGTTTTCAGCCCAGCATTTAATACCTGGAAATCCCCTTACAGTTCGGAAGGGCTTTACCCTTTTCCAGATGTTGGCATCCCAATGATAACCACACATTGGTTGAGAAAGCATCTCTAACCCAACGCTAAGGAAAAGGAAATGGAAACTGACAGGATTTGATAACTTGCCCAAGGTTGCACACCTAGAAGGAGGCAGAGCCAGGATTCACACGCAGGACCTGGACCCAGGAGGGGCCTTGTGAAAGGGAACCAGGGGACAGGGTCTAAGAGATGCAGATGGAAGGGAAGTTCCCCTCCTCCTGCCCCCACGCCCTGCCCCGGGCACACTGTTAGGGGCACACCATAAGGCCACTTTGCCTGCCACCTCCTCAGGACAACAGCAAAGCTAAGCCAGAATCTGTGCTGGCTCCGGGAAGCACCCTGCTCTGGGTGTATGAAGACCCACCATGTCCCTAGCAGGCATGCAGCACAGACCAGAATCTGGCTGATCTCATCGGGCCGCTTGTGCAGGACTGTGATCCCGTTCACTTCTCGGAGTTCATCTCCAACGTGGACCAGGCCTAGGAGACACAGGGACTGACCATCAGCACAGGAGGAGGACCTCAGCACCCTCGTTCAGAGCTCCAAGCACCGTGGGGGCCTGCCTGAGGAGCCCACCGCAGGGCAGACTCCAGGTTTAAAGTTGATGGGTGGGACTGGGGTGAACTAAGCCCCACTGGGTGCTGCGCAACTCACTCAGCATGAAGGTCTCAAATCACCCAGTAAAATCTCCAATTTACAAGTTGGCAGCTGAGCCCCAGGAAGATTAAGCAGCTTGGCTAAGACCACACTGCTAAGAAAAAATGAAGCCAGTATTCAAATGCAGTTATTCTGATGTAGAAAGCCTGCGTTCTTTTTGCTATAACCTCTGCTTCTTTAAAATTATCATTAACTCTTCACCTTCCTATGTTTACAGACATACTCCAAGAATGGCGTTCTTACCTCTCGACAAGGAAAGATAAAGGCACCAGTGAAGACATCATGAAGAGTAAAAACACGCTATGAGCCTCTGCCTGAATGACAACTGTCTCTGCAAATTAGGGCCCTCTTTGCTACTCAAAGTAGGCACTGACCCGGCTATACCAGCATCACCTGGAGGCAGGTTAAAAGTGCAGAATCTTCAGCCCAGCCCAGACCTGCTGAGTCAGCCTGCCTTTTACCAAGATGCTCGGGGAATTGGTATACTCCTTAATGGCTGCAGAGCACCGGTCTAGGATTCTCTGCAACAATGACCCCCCAGGCTTTCGGGTAACACCAGGAGGTTTGTCTCCCAGCTTAGTAGCTCCTCCACACACTGGTGATTTTCAACCTGCTTTCCACTAGAACGAATCTGGGACACAAACACTCTCTTTGTAATAGCGGCTTGACAAGACCTGGGGTGGCGGGGAAGGGTGTTATCCCCCTACCCACAGTAATCCTCCAAGCCCAGTCCTTGGACTAAAGCAACACAGGAGCTTTTTCACAATCACCCCAAAGTACTCCATGACTATTATATTTTCTTTTTTTTTTTTTAGAGACAGTCTCACTGTGTCTCCCATGCTAGAGTGTCGTGGTGTAATCATAGCTCACTGCAACCTCAAACTTCTGGGCTCAAACAGTCTTTCCACCTGGGCCTCCCAAATAGCTAGGACTACAGGTGTGAGCTACTGTTGGTGGCCTATATTTTCTTTTTCCTTTTTTTTTCTTTGAGACAGTCTCACTCTGTTGCCCAGGCTGGAGTACAGTGGCGTGATCTCAGCTCACTGCAACCTCCACCTCCCAGGTTTGTGTGTTTAGTAGAGATGGGATTTCACCATGTTGGCTAGGCTGGTCTCAAACTCCTGGCCTCAAGTGATCTACCCACCTTGGCCTCCCAAAGTGCTGGGATTACAGATGTGAGCAATCATGCCCAGCTGGCCTATATTTTCTATTACAGTTTCTACTGACTGGGGGAAATGAGAATTCTAGCCCCAACCCCAGAAAGCAAAGCACATCGCAAACAGGTGACCTGAGAGGAGGGAGGTAAGGGGCCCTAAAGCAAAGGCAGAGGGCTCTGGAACCATGGCCATGATGAGGGCTGGGCCGCCTTTGCACTGTCGCCACTCACCGCTCCTGTCTGCTGCGCCTCCTCGAATAATTCTGGCCACCACAACAGCCCCTGAATGCTCATCCCGCCGGATGGTGGCACCCTGCACCGGAGACAGAAGACACAAGTTCTTAAGCAGCAGCTTCAAACCCCAGACCCCTACTCTCCAGGCCCGGCAAACCCTCCCCAACCCCTCCCTCTGACAGTCCAGAGGGCAGATCAGTGAGGTCCTTCCCAGTACTGATGACAAAACAAAACCAACATCCGCCATTAGTACAGCTCTGCACCTCACAGTTTACGAGGTGCAATTATGCTGTGACATTTTAGATGAGGGACTGGGGCACAGAGAAGCGAAACATTCTCAAGGTCACCCAGCTGGCAAAGCGGAAGGCTTTTTGTGATGCCAAATTCAGTATGTTCTCCATCACATCTGTCATATCACAGTTCCTACCACTTGCAAAGACATTTAATAATGAGGATGATATGTGCCAGCTCATTTGCACCCCGCCTCTACCCAATCACAGGGTTACCGGGCCTTCTGCTGTTGCTGACAGAAACCAATTATGCACCCAAGCCAGAGCTTCAGGACCAGGACTCGGCCCATGAAGCACAGCAGAGATGACACTTAGGATGAGAGAGGCACTAACAAGCCCTCGATTTCCTGCACCGTGGAGGCCAGACTGCAGCAGAACAGCAGAAAGCTTAAGCGCTAAGCTCTAGGGCTGGACAGCCCCGGATGTGAGCACAGCTCTACCATTTACAAAGAGCATGTGGCCTTAGCAAGGACATCTCCAAGCCTGTTTCCTCTGAGGTGTGGGACAGCATTTAACTCACACGGTTGTTGCAAGAATTCCATGCAAGGCACTTAGTACACAGTAAGCACTCAACAAATGTTAACCACTTATGAGCAGCTGGAATTGCAAACATATTTGCACATTTCTCGTAACATCATCTGTGCCATCTATTTGAAGTACATAAGATAATTATTGCTGGAAAGAGAGGCCGTCAGCTAAGAATCCCAGGACTTCTAGCCCCCAAGACCTGAGAACCTCCCAGCATCTCTATCCATCATTTATTCAGCTCTGAACCACCAGCACGCAATACAGAGCCTGGAGAGGAGAGTTCACGATGTGTCTGCTAAATGAATGGCTGCTCAATTTTACAGATGAGGAAATAGAGGCAGAGGAGATCCTCATCTATTTACAGAAGAGAATCATTGGAGGTCATCTGGAGAAAGCTGGAAATAGAGAATGCCAGCTGTGGGATCCTCTGGAGCCAATCTCAATTCTCTGGGCTTCCACCACTTTCGTCCATCTCATAAACAACGCTGTCCCTTTGCTGGGTGCATCGATGCTGGACCAGGACCAAAGTGACAGCAGTCTGTCTGCCGGGGAGGGGAATGCCTGGCGCTTCCTCAACAGTCAGAGCAGGCATTGGCACACGTTTTCTGTAACGGGCCACAGGTAAATACTTTAGGTCGGCTGCATGGTCTCTGTCACTATGACTCAACTCTGCCATCACACTGTAAAGGCAGCCACAGCCAATCTGTAAGTGAATGGGCCTGGGTGTGCTCCAAAAAAGCTTTATTTTAAAAAATAAGCCGTGGGCTGGGTTTGACCCTTGGGCTGTAGTTGGTCCATTTCTGGCTTAAAGGGTGACTGGGGTCACCCTGTACAATTGCGCAGGTTATTTACTGACAAAGGGAATTGGTCACAGTTGAGAGGGGCTGTATCCACCCAGAGGAAGGGGCGCCCTGCACACAGAGGTGATACAGAGATGAGCAGCAGGCCTGGTGAAGCTGCCATCACTCACTCTGAAGACTTCAGGAGGGTCCTGTCCCACTGTTCTGGTGAGAGGCAGGGAGAAGTGGGTTAGAGAGAGGCGTGCAGCACCTACCAGGGTTCCTTGTTCTTCACCAAGCGGACGGACGATCTTCACCGATTCCTCATCAAAATCCTCATCGATATTATCAGGCAGACATGGGAGAACGGGGTCAAAATTCTTCTGGGCAACCGTGTCATGTACCATGAGCACAGCCTGCTGGGAAAGCAAGAGAACACGACGGCTGGCCCGCCACTCACAGGGTCAGCAAGCCTCAGCTGGGCAGTGGTCTGGAGGGTGGCAGATGTCATGCCAGAGACAAGTGGCCAGACACGGGCACTGAGGACCGTTCCCTCAGATGTCTCCGCTCCGCAGTCTCATGACAAGAGCTCCCTCTGCCCCCATCCCAGGAGACACAGAGGCATGGGTGGGCAGGGCTCTGCGTGACCACCCTCAGGTGCGGAGTGGACAGCAGCTGGAGCATCACCATGCACGGAGGCGGCCTGCAGCTCCTCCATCACCTGCAGAGAACAAGACAGGTGCTGCTGATGGCTGGGGGTGCCCCTGTCCCACATCTGCTGGGTCCTTCCTCTTTGGACCAGGAATTCAAGGGCCTACCCAGCTGCGGCCTCCAGGGGCACACCAGACCCTCAGTCACCCCAGGACGATGCTCCCAGGAACATCATGCCAGCGGTCAGGAGCAGCTCTACAGGGCCATCCTCTGAGGAGCCAGTGTCTTAAGCCCTGTGCGCTTTCTGCTTTATGTGGACCTTCTCACTGAACCCTTGCAATCAACTCGAGGCAGAGGGTCATGTTACTTTGCCATTTTACAGATGAGAATCCTGAGACTCAAAGGGATTAAGCATCTTGCCCAAAGTCACAGAGTTTGTATACAGCACAGCTAGGATTTGAACCTGGGCTTGCCTGGCTCTCAGATGCTATTTTACAAATGAGGAAATAGGAGCTCTGAGAAGTTGAGTGGCCTGCTTAACATCACAGAGCTGGTGGGACAAGCAGTGGCTGAGCCTAGGAGCCAGGCAATTGAACGTGCCTCTAATCAATTCCATAGTGGAGAAGCGCCCAGGGCTCTGCACCCACAGGCTGCACCCATCCCTCCCCAGGCCATCTCCTGGGGTTAGATGAGATTATTCAGGAACTGATCTTAGTAATCAACCAGAATGGCTTTTCCCCAACCACGAAACACAGATGACTAGGTTCACAAGAAATTAAGAAGCAATCCTTTAAAAAGTGCGAAGCCTGAGCCATTAGGCAGGGGCACGCTATAGGTCCCATGACTTCAGAAAAGCACAGATACAATGTCTTATTGACCTATTCAAATTGCCTGTCCTCAGGGCAGTTTGGGAACTGCTGAGCCAATCCAATGCTCTCATTTACAGTGGAGGAAACAGACTTTCTCAAGAACACACAGCCCAAGTCACAGTGTCTCCCAGCCCAGTCCAAGGCTCACAGGTTCCTCCATGCCTTTCAGTGGGGTGGGTGGGAGGGAACCCAGAGAGAGGAAGAGGAATTGAAGGAGGACAAGGGAAGAAAACACCTCTTCACCTTTGGGCTCCTGATTCCCAGTGTCTCCAGGCTAAGCAAATGAGGCAAGATGAAGGAGCCCTACAGGGTGGGGAGCCGGGCGGACGCTGCAAGGAAAAACCCGAGGCTTACGTCCTCAGTGAGGGCCATGGCGCTGTGCAGAACTGGGGTTGGACTTTGCCTTTCGTAATAGTGAAGCTTCTCGTGAATCTGCAAAGACAGACTATTTCAGATGCACCCTGGACACCACACATCCCATTCCTGGCTGTGGGGATACTTGGGGCGGCAGACTGGGGCACCATAAGAGAAAGTCCTGTGTAGTGGGCAAGTGAAGGCCTTCCTAGGGCAGGGAGATGAGTAGGATGACCTCAGATGGTCACAGACAGCTAGAAAGACCTCCAGACACCTTCCTGGCAGGATGACGTGGGACTTCACCTTCATTAAGTAACTGAGGCTTTTTTCGCTGAAAACATCCCTCAGGAAGCCCATCTCTTCCTTGTGGCTGGAGTCAGGTCTGAGCTGGGAGGTCAGCAGGGCCAGGGTTTCATGCAAACCTGGGGAGAGTGTGAGAAAAACAAGGGATAGCAAACACCGCAGGTGCTCCCTGCCCCCAGAAGCCCGAGTGGAGCCTCAAACGACACTTTGGTCCTGCCTTGAGGACATCCTCTCCCCTGGCTCTCACTGCCAGGGCCTGGAGGCTGCCAGGCAGGCTGTCTTCAGGGCTGTGGCAGGTCCAGCCCCAGGGAGGTACTTACCAGAGTCCTCCGACAGCACAGGCATGCTGGTGTCCGTCCACACGTCCTGACCTCTCCCTGCAGATTCTGGGAGAAAGGGGGCGGGATGGGTATTGAAGCTCCATCAAGCATATTTATTCAACAGTGACTACACATCCACTGTGTTCTCTGAGACCAGGGTGGACAGAGAGGATGGGAACAAATAACTCCTCTGCTCACACTTTTCAGAGGAAGGAAATAAAGCTCAGATATGCTGAGTCCTCAGTGTGCCAAGCATCGTGTGGGGTGATTTCTATGATAAAGTTTTTGTCTGCACAAAGTCCTGAGAAATGACTGCTAATGTTCCCATTTTGCTGATGAAGAAACAGGCGCATGGAGGGGTTCAGTCAGGGGTGGGTCAAAATCCATATTCCAGCGCGCTCTTCCAGGCTGGCCTTGGAGGTGCCAAGTGAGCCTGCCTGACAGTGTCTGCTGTCCTCTGTAGTGCGCCCCTTCGCTGTAACCTTGTAAGAGGCCTGGTTCAAGTCTCCCTCTGGGACCCACCTTCCACAGCTACCTGGTTGGGCCTACAAGCCCCCCGTCGCTGACCCCCAAAACCCAACCCAAAGGGAGCCTCCAGACTGGGGTGCAGAGAGGAGGGGAAGACCTGCGGGAGCCCCATCTCAGCAGCCCCCCGAAGGTGGTCTGCAGCACGTGGACCACCTCAAAAAGTCCTCCTTCGAAAGGGAAGGAGAGTCATGATTGATTCATTCCGCAAACATGGAGCCAGCCCGCAGCGCGGAGCCCCGGTGCCACTAACAGGCGTAAGAACCGCCCCGGACCCTCCAGACACCGCCCCGCTTCCGCCCCGCCCCCGCCCGCGCCGTCACTCTGGACTCATCCTCGGCTGCTCGCCGCAGGCGGCCGCGCACTGACTCCCGCTTGCTCTCGGAAGGAACCTGTGGGACGAACAGGGAGCGCGCTGGGCGCAGGAGCAGCGACCCCGGGGGACTTCGGAGGGCTGTCCCGGAAGACGCGGAGCGGCGCGGAGCTGGGGGCGCGCGGGGGGCAGGCGCGGGCGGAGAGGGGCGCGGCCCGAGGGGCGGGTCTGAGACCCCCGCGGGGGGCTCGGTGGGCCGGGAGGCTGCTTGGGAGCTCGAGGGGAGGGTCTCCGTCCGGTCTCCGGCCGCTCCGGCCGCGGCGCCCAGCTCCTTCGTCCGCTCCCCGCGCCGCCTCCTACCTCGTCGCGCCGGGTTGTGTGCTCCGCGACCGGGAGCCGCGCGGGTGCCCCGAGCCCGGGCGGGGGTGACGGAGCCGGAGGAGGCGCGGCAGGGGTAGGAGGCGGGGGAGGAGCGGAGGCCGCCCTCCGCGTCTGGCACCGCCGCCCCCCGGGCAGGGCTCGTACTTCCTCCCACTCTCCCGCTCCCCGAGCTCCCAGCCGGTGTCCCCCCGCCCTGGCACACAACCAGCCTTTCCTTCCGCCCGCACGACCCACCCTCCGCGAATGGCGGGGTGGACACCTGTTCAACAGATAATTCGATTTCGCAAACATTTATTGAGCGCCCTCCAGGTGCCAGGCGCTGTGCCAGGGGCCGGGGCTCCAAAGACGACCAAGGCAGAGATCCTAGGTTTGAGGATCTCCCGAGCCGGGGCGGGGGGGCGGTGGGATGCGAAGGCAACTTGCTGTAACAATGCAACACGCTGGGAAAGATTTATCCGTGGACGCTGCCCTGGGGGCTCAGAGCAAGGGAGGAGAAGTCAGGCTGGAGAGAAGGGGGACTCCAGTCTGCCCGGCTGCAGAGGGGGTGGGGCTGCATGGCAAAGGCGACCAGCATCCAGGGGCTTTACTGGAGAAAGCCCTGAAATGGCCATGACCGTAACTGACTTCCATTGTGCTGTCCCCATGCCCAGGTACTTCTCAGACCACTTCCTCACCGTAGCCTGATATCAAGACCATTATTATTTTGGTTCTGCAACTGAGAAAACTGAGGTTGGGGTGGAAGGATGTGTACGGTGGAGAGCAGAGGAACTGCCGGGCGAGGGAGCAGGTGGTTGTGGGTATTAGAGCTGAAGAGTGGGTGAGTGAGGGGCCCCCTTCCCTCAATCCCAGCAGTGAAGAACAAAGCACATGTCAGGAGAGGTGGACCCGAAGGTTAAATCTGGAAGTAAATCTAGCCCTGCACAGCAACCAGGGAAAATGGGTTGGCAGGCCCCTCAGGCTGTGCATGGGGAGCTGTGAGAGGCAGCAAATGTCATGATGATGTTTCCCCTCATTCCTCAAAAATTATCCACACCATTGCTCCTCAAAATGTAATGTGCCTGAGACTCACTAGGGGGTTGTGTAAGGCTGGGGTGGTGCCAGATTCTGAATTTCTAACAAGCTCCCAGGTGATGTGATGCCACTGGTCTGAGACCACATGAGGCACATTTTTAGCTGCAATGCTTAGTGTTGGAGCGATAATGAGAACCATCTGATACGGAGTCAAATGATTTTGGACAAGAGCACCAGGAAGTGGTCTTGGAACAAGTAGATATAGATATTTATGTGTGTGAAGGGACCCAATCCCTACCTCACACCCTATTCAAAACACAATTTAAGAGAGATCATAGGCCTAAACACAAAGCAAATTGATAAAGCTACTAGAAGAAAACAGGAGGGTATCTTTTAAGTCTTGAGGTATACAAAGATTTTTTAGAATGGATACAAAAAAAGCCAAGCATGGTGGCATAAGCCTATATCCCACATACTCAGGAGGCTGAGGCAGGAGGATTGCTTGAGCCCAGGAGTGCAAGGCTGCAGTGAACTATGATCGGTCCACTGCACTTCAGCTTGGGTGACAAAAAGAGATTCCATCTCTAAAAAAAGAAAAAAGAAAAGACATGGACCCTAACAACAATTAATAAATGGACCTCATCAAAATTTAAAACTTCTGCTCATCAAAAAACACTATTGACTGGGTTCAGTGGCTCACGCCTGTAATCCCAGTATTTTGGGAGGCCGAGGCAGGCAGATCACAAGGTCAGGAGATTGAGACCATTCTGGCTAACATGGTGAAATCCTGTCTCTACTAAAAATACAAAAAATTAGCCTGGCGTGGTGGCACGTGCCTGTAGTCCAAGCTACTCAGGAGGCTGAGGCAGGAGAATCGCTTGAACCTAGGAGGGGGAGGTTCCGTGAGCCAAGATCACACCACTGCACTCCAGCCTGGGCGACAGTGAGACTCCATTTCAAAAAAAAAAAAAAACACTATTAAGAAAATAGGACCAGGTGCAGTGGCTCACATCTGTAATCTCAACACTTTGAGTGTTCAAGGCGGGTGGATGACTTGAGCCCAGGAGTTCAAGACCAGCCTGAGCAGCATGGCAGAACCCAGTCTCTACTAAAATTACAAAAACTAGCCGGGTGTGTTGGCTTGTGCCTGTACTCCCAGCTGCTCAGGAGACTGAAGTAGGAGGATCACTTGAGCCTGGGAAGCAGAGGTTACAGTGAGCCATGATTGTGCCACTGCTCTCCAGGCTGGGCAAAAAAAAAGAAAAAAAGAAAAAAGACTAACGCCCCAATCAAAAAACAGGCAAAGATATGAACATACACTTCACAAAAGAAGATATACAAATAACCAATAAGCATATGAGAAAGCCCATATCCAACATCACTTGTCATCAGGGAAATGCAAATTCAAACCTGTCTTAGTCAGTTCCTGCTACTAAACAAAGTACCACAGTAATTTATAAGTAATAGAAATTTACTGCCTACAGTTGTAGAGGCCAGAAAGTCCAAAATCAAGGGGCCAGCAGGTGCAGTGTCTGGTGAGGGCCTGTTCCTCACTGATAGCATTGGAAACGTATCCTCACACGGTGGAAGAGAAAGACAGGCATAAAGGGATGAACGCTGTGTCCTCATGTGGCGGAAGGAGCCAAAGGGGCTAGGGTGCTCCCTTCAAGTGCTCCACCATTCACATGTGGTATATCCATACAATGGTATATTTACTCGCCAATAAAAAGAAGCTACTACTCAAAGGCTACCCCTACCATGCAACAGCATGGAGGAACATCAAAATAGATTGACTGGCCTGCATGCAGTGGGTCACACATGTAATCCCAGCACTTTGGGAGGCTGAGGCAGGTGGATCACCTGAGGTCAGGAGTTTTAAACCAGCCTGGCCAACCTGCTGAAACCTCATCTCTACTAAAAATACAAAAAATTAGCCAGGTGTGGTGGTGGGGACCTGTAATCTCAGCCACTCAGGAGGCTGAGGCAGGAGAATAGCTTGAGCCCGGTAAGTGGAGGTTGCAGTGAGCTGAGATCACACCATTGCACTCCAGCGTGGGTGAAAGAGCAAGACTCCATCTCAAAAAAAAAATAGAAGTTAACCAGGTGTAGTGGTGGGCACCTATAATCCCAGCTACTCGGGAGGCTGAGGCACAAGAATCACTTGAATCTGGGAGGTGGAGGTTGCAGTGAGCTGAGATTATGCCATTGCACTCCAGCCTGGGTGACAGAACAAGACTCCATCACAAAAAATAGATAGATAGATGATAGATAGATAGATAGATAGATAGATAGATAGATAGATAATAGATAGACAGACTGAATGAAAAAAGCCAAACACGAAAAAGTACATACTGTATTACTGGGGTGTTGTAATCTTGATGCCATCACTGAGGTCAGAGGCTTTCATTAGGCCAGGAACCTTATTATTATTAAAATTTACCAAAACTACCTCAAAAGAAAGATAAAATATTAATAGGTCAATCTTAATACAGTAGAGCTGTCAACTGTTCCCTCAGAAAGCGCTAGGCCCTGCTAGTTCTGCAGGAGAACTTCACCAAACATTTAAGGAACAAAACTTATTTCTTCTAGAACGTAGAAATAGAAGGAAATCTTCAAAGTTCTTTTTATAATAGTATTGATACCAAAACCTGTCAAAAAAGGCCAAAAAAAAAAAACCCTGCAAATCAATTGCATTTATAAATATTGGTGCAAAAATCCTAAAAACTGCATTAGCTAACAAATTCATCAGAACATCAAAAGAATAACATACCATGAATAAATAGAATGTTCTTAAAATGATTTAGTACTTGGAAATTGCATTGTTTAATATTTGGAAAGCTATTACTAAAACTCCATGTAAGACAATCTATTAATAGGATAAAAAATTAGGCAGGGCACAATGGCTCACTCCTGTAATCCCAGCACTTTGGGAGGCCAAAGCAGGCAGATCACTTGAGGTCAGGAATTTGAGACCAGCGTGGCCAACATGGTGAAAACCCACCTCTACTAAAAACACAAAAATTAGTGGGGTGTGGTGGCACATGCCTGTAGTTCCAGCTGCTTGGGAGGCTGAGGCAAAAAAATTGCTTGACCTGGAAGGTGGAGGTTGCAGTGTTGGAGATCATGCCACTGCACTCCAGTCTAGGCGACAGAGCAAAACTCTGTGTCAAAAAAACAAAAAAAGAAGTTGTTTTCATTAAAAGTAAATGCTCTAGGCCAGGTGTAGTGGCTCACACCTGTAATTCCCAGCACTTCAGGAGGCCAAGGCAGGAGAATCACCTGAGATCAGGAGTTCCAGACCAGCCTGGGGAATATCATGAGACCTCATCTCTAAAAAAAATAATAAACAAAATTAGCCAGGTGTGGTGGTGTTTATCTGTGGTCCCAGCTACTCAGGAGGCTGAGGTGGAGGATTGCTTGAGCCCTGGAGATGGAGGCTGCAATAAGCCATGATCATGCCACCGTACTCCATCCTGGGCATTAGAGTGAGACCCCATCGCTAAGAATAAAACAAAACAAAAACAAAAGAAAAAAATCAATGGTCTAAATCCTCCAATTAAAAGGCAAGAATTGTCAGACTGTATTAAAAAGCAAGACTTAATGTGCTTTCTAGAATAAACTGACTTGAAAAATAAAGACATAGATATGCTAAAAGAAAATGAATGAAAAAAGATTTACACTAATTAATAAAGCTGGAGTGACTATATTAATATAGGGCAAAGTAGACCTCAAAACAAGGAATATTACCAGGGATAAAGGGGGCTATTTCATAATGATAAGTGATCAGTTGATCAAGGGGACATACCTTATGTATATGAATCCCTAAATGTGTATGAATCTAATCAAGCCTTAAAGTGCCTACCAATATGAATGATTTACTATCACTCTGAATGTTGGCCAATATCATCAGATGAGAAAAAGAAACAATAGACATAGATATTAGAATGAAGGGCCGGGCTTGGTGGCTCAAGCCTGTAATCCCAGCACTTTGGGAGGCTGAGGAGGGCAGATCACGAGGTCAGGAGTTCGAGACCAGTCTGGCCAACATAGTGAAACCCAGTTCTACTAAAAATACAAAAAATTAACCGAGTGTGGTGGTGTGCACCTATAATCCCAGCTACTTGGGAGGCCGAGGCAGGAGAATTGTGTGAACCCAGGAGGCGGAGGTTCCAGTGAGCCGAGATTGAACCATTGCCCTCCAGCCCAGGTGACAGTAAGAGATTCGGTCTCAAAAAAAAAAAAAATTAAAAAGAATGAGGCAGCACAGGTTTACCTAGAAACTCAAGAAAATTGACTGAAAAGTACTTAAAATGATGAAAAAATATTCAGATGGCAGGGAGTATACAATTGATACTAAAACGGTATGACTTTCCTAGGAACAAAAATAATTATAAAGTATAAAGAAAAAATCCAAACTAAAATATCAAGAGTAAGATTAAATACCAAGTTATAAACGTCATAGGAAAATTAAAAGACCTATTGGTATTTGGGGGAAAAAACTTTAAAATTCTAGTGAAGGACATAAAAGACAAAATGTACCTCAAATGGCTAGGGAAAGAACAGTTCAATCGTGTAATTATATTAATTCATTCTGAAATAATCTGTATACCCAATGCAATTCCAGTTAAAATATAAGAAGAATTTTCAGAGGAAATCTATTAAATGCTACCACAATTCATCAGGAAAAATAAACACTGGTCAATAATAGGAAAGTTCTAGAAAAAAAAAAAAGAGTTATGGGACCAGGGGAGGTGGGATGTAAGGTGGCACCAGCTCATCAGAGATAAAACATTTCAAATATGAAAACAATGTTTAAAGTTTAGTACTGACCTGTAGTCCCAGGACTCTGAGAGGCTGAGGCAGGTAGATCGCTTGAGCCCAGGAGTTCAAGACCAGCCTGGGCAATATGGCAAAACCCTGTCTCTACAAATACTGCGAAAAGTAGCTGGCTGTAGTGGTGCTCATCTGTAGTCCCAGATGCTCAGGAGGCTGAAGCAGAATTGCTTGAACCCAGGAGGTCGAGGCTGCAGTGAGCCATGGTAGCGTCTCTGCACTTAAGCCTGGGTGACACAGCAAGACCCTGTCTCAAAAAAAAAATTAATTACTTAATAAAGTTTAGTACTAAAGAGGTAATCAACAGCTAGACAAATAGAACAGAATTGAAAGAACAGAAATAGTACTCATGCATACGGTCTTAATTCTTGAGAAAGTTGACATTTAAGTGGGAGGAGAGGGATTTTTTTAATGTGGGGACTCATCAGGTGCAGTGGCTCACACCTGTAATTGTAGCACTTTGGGAGGCTGAGGCAGGAGGATCTCTTGAGCCCAGGAATTCAAGACCAGCCTTGGCAACATAGCAAGAACTGGTCTTTACTTAAAAAAAAAAAAAAATGATCCACGTGCAAGTAGACCCAGCTACTCAGGAGGCTGAGGTGGGAGGATCACTTGAGCCCAGGAGCCATGATCGTACCACTACACTTCAGCCTGGGCATCAGAGCAAGACCCTCTGTCAAAATAAAATAAAGTATGGTGACAATTACAACTAGCTACCTGTTATGGAAGAGAGAGAGAGAGAGAGAGAGAGAGAGAGAGAGAAAGGGAAAGGCTGGGTGCAGTGGTTCATGCCTGTAATTCCAGTACTTTGGGAGGCTGAGGCAGGTAGATCACCTGAGGTCAGAAGTTTGAGACCAGCCTGACCAACATGGAGAACCCCCACCTCTACTAAAAATACAAAAATTAGTCGGGTGTGGTGGCAGGTGCCTATAGTCCCAGCTACTCTGGAGGCTGAGGCAGGAGAATCACTTGAGGTTGCAGTGAGCTGAGACCACACCACTGCACTCCAGCCTGGGCAACAGAGTGAGACTCCATCTCAAAAGGGAGGCAACGTCCCTTGTCATCTATTAAGACAAAAATGTTTAAGTCTGTTGACATCCAGTGCTGACAAGGATGTGGGGAAATAGACACAGTTGGAAGGAATGCTATTGGTGCAAACTTTCTGGGACATGATCTAGTAATTATTTGTTAAAATTTTATACGTACCTGTCTTTTAGCCTAGAGGATATTTGGGCAAGCAAATTAGAAGAAAAGATAAGCAGAGAGAGATGTTTGGGTGAATGAGAGCTTGCAGCAGGAGTGCTGGGAGAGGCTGCATCCCAGGACAGGGCAGGTGCGGTGAGGACAAAGTTGACCCAGATGTGGCTGGAACCCCAGAGCAGGATTTGCCTCAGCCAGCCAAGGCTCAGTCAAGGTGCATTCAGAGCAGCTGCAGAGGGAACAGGAAGATGAACTCAAGGCCAGAGGAATGAATGCCTTCGGGTCCATCTAGACATGGAGAAGTGAGTTCTATCAGGCACGCTCTGGAAAAAAAGAGAATGCTAATAATCCTTGAAGAGGTGGCAGAGAGAATCTGCTTCAGGCTACAGGTGTGCATTGTCATGGCGTTTGACATTCAGCCCAGACACCATAGGAAGCCAGAAATAATTCCAAGAGGAGAAACGGGCTGGTGCCCAGGCATGCAGCAAGAGGGCAAGCCGGAAGCAGGGGGAGAAAGGGCAGGCTGAGCTTCGTTTACTTCAATGACAAGGGAAATTACCATACTGGGGTTTTGTGAGATTTCTGATAACTTTCCCATTGTTTGTGGCTTTCGTTAGCTATTTCTCTTCTTTTTATTTGTTTATTTAATTTTATTTTATTTATTTTGAGACAGAGTCTGGCATTATTGCCAAGCTTGAGTGCAGTGGCACAATATTGGCTCACTGCAACCTCCACCTCTCGGGTTCAAGTGATTCTCCTGCCTCAGCCTCCTGAGTTCCTGGAATTACAGGTGCCTGCCACCTCGCCTAGCTAATTTTTTGAATCTTTAGTAGAGACGGGGTTTTACCATGTTGGGCAGGCTGGTCTCAAACTCCTGACCTCCTGATGCACCTGCCTTGGCCTCCCAAAGTGCTGGGATTACAGGTGTGAGCCACTGTGCCCAGCTCTTTTTTCTTAATGAACTTTATATTTTGGAATAATTTTAGATTTACAGAAAAGTTGCAAATACAGCACAGAGAGTTCCTGAACACTCTTCCTCTGTTTTCTTTAATGTTAACATCTTACATAATCATGATACATTTGTCAAAACAAAGACATGAACACTGGCATGTTATTATTAACAAAATTCTAGACCTTATTAGTCTTTCACTAGTTTTTCCACTAATATCCTTTCTCTGTTCTGGGATCCCGGCTAAGATAGCACACTAAAGTTAGCCTTCAAAGATTCTGAGATTTGAAATTTGCCTGTCAGTAAATATAGGCATTTATGATTCAGCTTCCAGGGAGGATGGTCCTCATTACCAGTCTCCCATTACTGCCTCCTCTATCATTTTCCCTGGCATTCCCAGAAGTAAAAAGTCTTTACATCAGTCAACATAAAAAAATTGGAAAGGGGCCAGGTGTGGTGGTTCACGCCTGTAATTCCAGCACTTTGGGAGGCTAAAGCAGGCAAATTATTTGAGGTCAGTAGTTCGAGACCAGCCTGGCCAACATGGTGAAATCCCGTCTCTACTAAAAATATAGGCCAGGCACGGTGGCTCACGCCTGTAATCCCAGCACTTTAGGAGGCTGAGGTGGGTGGATCACGAAGTCAAGAGATTGAGACCATCCTGGTCAACATGGTGAAACCCCATCTCTACTAAAATACAAAAAATTAGCTGGGCATGGTGGCACGTGCCTGTAATCCCAGCTACTCAGGAGGCTGAGACAGGAGAACTGCCTGAACCCAGGAGGCAGAGGTTGTGGTGAGCCGAGATCGTGCCATTGCACTCCAGCCGGGGTAACAAGAGCAAAACTCCGTCTCAAAAAAAAAAAAAAAAAAAAAAAAAAATATATATATATATATATATATATATATATATATATATATAATAAAATAAGCCAGGCATGGGGCACATGCCTGTAATCCCAGTTACTCAGGAGACTGAAGCACAAGAATTGCTTGAACCCTGGAGGTAAAGGTTGCAGTGAGCTGAGACCATGCCACTGCACTCCAGCCTGGGTGACAGACTGAGACCCTACAGTCTCCAAAAAAAAAAAAAAAAAATTGAAAGGGAGTTTTCAGATTTGATTTGATGGAGAAAGTTGAAAAATCGAGTTTGCAACTGGCTAGGGTAGGGAAGCCACAGGGAGTCTAGAGGATGAAGCGTAAGAGAGAAAACAGAAAGCGTGGTGGTCTACGCTGCGCTACAGCAATGAGCAAACTGCAAGCTCTCCGTGGCTAAACACTGAAAAGCCTATCTCTTGCTCACACCAAGTCTGCTGCACGTTTGGTGGCTGTCCAGGGCAGCTGTCTTCCAAGTGGTAGCTCAGGAATCCAAATCTTCCCGTCTTGTGGCTCATTCGTCTTTGCTGAGGACACATCTTCCCCACTCTTGATGCTTCCTTCTGTGAGCAGAAAGCCCCGCTGGCACATGCCACCAGCCTGGTGATCTGTCCAGATCTTTTGCCCCACTGCCTCTTCCAGATGCTGTGATGGCGGGGCACCTCCCCATGCTCCTGGTAGGAAGCAGGAACAAAGTGTCCTCTCTTCTCAGATCCCCAGTCCACCTCGGGGAGTCTGCCTGTTGGCCCCACCTACCTCAGGGTGTGGCCTAAGCGTAGAATTAGGTGCAAGGCTCATGCCAGCACCTCACTTTCACCCTTCTCCCCAGCTCTTGCTCCACTTCCCAGCCTGGTGAATCTGTTTCTATTGGAGTTTTCAAGTCAGCCTCCTGGGCTAGGTGTGGGGCTGGGGAGTGGAGGGAAGGGCCTTCAAATAGGCAGGAAGGCGGTAGGGACCCGCTCAACACCCTCTTTATATAAACAAACATTTGATAACACCTCGATTTCTCTCCTAAAATGACAATCATAAATAATATGCCTTCCCATGCACTTACTTTTTTAAAAGATATATAAGGGAGAAAAAAATAAAAGGAAAGCAATTTATAACCAAGTAACACATATTTCAAACTGCCAGTGGTCAGGTCCCATGACACCAGAAAACATCGAAGTGTCAGATGCTTGCCCTTGCATATCATAAATAAGTCTGAATCCAAGAAAAGTAGAGGATCAGAAATTCTTCTGTGTAAGGACAAAATTAAATAAATAAAAGAGCAAAGATATGCTATCAAATGCTAGAAGAAGTATTATTTTAAGGCCAGGCATGGTGGCTCATGCCTGGAATCCCAGCACTTTGGGAGGCCACCATGGGAGGATTGCTTGAAGCCAGGAGTTTGAGACCAGCTTGGACAACATAGCAAGACCCTGTCTCTACTAAAAATATTAGCTAGGCATGGTGGTGCATGACTGCAGTCCCAGCTACTTGGGAGGCTGAGGTGGGAGGATCACTTGAGCCTGGGAGTTTGAGGCTGCAGTGAGCTGTGATGGTGCCACTGCACTCCAGATTGGGCAACAAGAGTGAGGCTTGTCTCAAAAACAAAGAAATAAATAAATAATTTTTAATCTGTGTTTTTTTATTTTAACTACAAAAACAGATCACCTTTTGTAGTCTGTATATGTAAAAGGAAGACAGGGGTAGTGGCTCATGCCTGTAATCCCAGCACTTTGGGAGGCCAAGGTGGGTGGATCATTTGCAGTCAGGAGTTCAAGACCAGCCTGGCCAACATGGTGAAACCCCATCGCTACTAAAAATACAAAAATTAGCTGGGCATTGGCACATGCCTGTAGTACCAGCTACTCGGGAGGCTGAGCCAGAAGAATCGCTTGAACCCACAAGGCAGAGGTTGCAGTAAGCCCAGATGGTGCCACTGCACTCCAGCCTGGGTGGCAGAGAAAGACTCCATCAAAAAAAAAAAAAAAAAAAAAGAGGAGGCAGGGCTGAGATCACGGTAACAGAGTTTTCACCAACGTGAACAGCTGTCCCTGCCCACTAAATGGCAGCAGTGCTTCGCAGTCACTGTGAAATCAAAACGCTTCTCCCACATTGCTAGGCTCAAACACACACAATCTCCCCTCCCAGAACCACTGAGTTCATACTTCAAATATTAACCTGACAAGTGAGTAAAATTCCAACTGAACATTTGGAAGCATATATGCCAAAATATTAATGGTGCTTTTCTAGAGCAGAAGGGGAATTACAAAAAACATTCCCTTTCCTTTCCTTTCTTATGTTCTGTATTATGTAAAATCTTGCTTACCTGTGTGAACTTTGCAATCAGACAAAAAAAAAAAAAAAAAGAGTCATTGTTGAAACCAGTGTGTCAGGGCTTCCAAGAGTACCTTTGTTTGTGTGTGTGTTTTTTGTTTTTTGTTTGTTTTTGAAACGGAGTTTCGCTCTTGTCGCCCAGACTGGAGTGTAATGGCGCCAATTGTGCAACCTCCTCCTCCTGGGTTCAAGCCATTCTCCTGCCTCAGCCTCCCGAGTAGCTGGAATTACAGGCATGTGCCACCACGCCCAGCTAATTTTTCTGTTTTTCTGTATTTTTAGTAGAGACAGGGATTTCACCAAGTTGGCCAGGCTGGTCTCGAACTCCTGACCTCAGGTGATATACCGGCCTTGGCCTTCCAAAGTGCTGGGATTACAGGCGTGGGCCCGGCCCAGTTTTGGTTTGGTCCTTTCAAGGAGGATTCAAGTCTGCTTGAATTGATGGAGAAACCACCGATTCACTTTTTCAAACCCCAAAACAACCCCACGGACCTGAGGGAGACCCATCTTGCAGCGCGGACTGCCCAGGTCTCCAGGGAATGCAGCTCAGCTCAGCTCAGCCCTATGACTTTGCTCGGCCCCGTCTGCACCGCCGCACCGTGGCCAAGGACAGCACTGCGTCCTCCAAAAGGTGATGGCGGAGGACGGGCCAGGGACCTTGCCCCAGGGGCAAGCTTCTTTCTGTCCCACCAACCACATGACAGTCTGGTGAAGTTTATAAACCCCTCTCTCAGTGTAATAGCGCGTAAGTATATAAATAAAATACATATGCTGAAAAAAAACTAATATGGGTGAGATGATTCTCAAAACTCTTTATAAACATGTAATCTAGCAATAGCCCTGTTTCATTATTAGCGTTGTAAATAACCAGCTCTGGGGGCAGGTCTAGTAACTCATGATTTTCCAAGCAGTGAGGAGTACACCCGACGTTTCCAGATATCCACAGCCTGATGCGCCAGTGTCTGTGATTGTAGTTGGTAACAAAGTTGCAGGTACTGCTAATAGTACACTCCCAATAGGAGGAAAAGCTAAACATTAAAAGTCGGTGAAAGTCCATACGTAACTTTTTCCCATGCGAATACATGGACTCCTTGAATTTGACTCTTAGGGTGCACGGACCACAGGTTAAGAGAGAAGTACCATCATGGGTTTTCAGTCCTGGGAGGTGAGCCAGGGTAGGCACGCGTGGGCAGTCATTAAAGGGCAGGCAGAGACGCCCCCCCCCACCACCGCTGGGCCTGCGGAGGGGTGACCCGCACGCCCCTCCCCTAGCTTCCTCAGCCTGGTTTCACACGACTAGAGGAATTTAAAGCCCCACGTAGCTGAAGAGCAGCTCACAGTTCCCAGCGTCTGCTCCCGCGGTGTCCAGTGCCCAGAATGTGGCTTCTGGTCCTGCTATGGGGTTGCCTGGTGCTCCCAGGTGAGATGGGGTGGGGGTCTTGGGAGGGATGTGGGGTTCACCCTTAGGGCTTGCAGGGGAAGGACCTCCTGACTGCCTGATAGCCCCACCCCACCCATCCTCAGCCTCCTCAGCCCTAGGGGAGCCAGATGGCTGTGTCTGGAACCTAGAGCCAGGTTTTCTCCCAGACCGGTGACTTTCCCCTCCTGGGAGGTGGCTGTGAGAGTTGTTTTGCCTCTCTGATCTTAATTTTTCTACCCTGCGCCAAGCCTGGAGGCAGACAAGACACCCCGGTCTGATTGTCCTTTTAAACTCAGCAAATATGTGTTGAATCTCTACCGTGCCTCTCCCCACAACCCTGAGAGATGGAGAATGATCACGTTTCATCAATTCTTTTGCTTTCTTTTTCTTTACCTTTTAACACTGAAAATCAGGATGCATCCTACAACTGATGCCAGTTGTTCAGTTGGCAATAGTGAGACCCCCATCTCTTTGAAAACAAAAACAAAAACAAAAAATTAGCCAGGCATGGGGGTGCACGCCTATAGTCCTAGCTAGTGGGAGGCTAAGGTGGGAGGATCTCTTGAGTCCCAGAGGTCAAGGCTACAGTGGGCCATGAGCACCCTGCCCTTCAGCCTGGGCAACAGAGTGAGATCCTGTCTACAAACAAAACAAAAACCAGAAACCCTCCTGGCTATCTGGCTCTCAGATTCTATCTGAATCTACAACGCCCCTCCCCACCCCATTCCTCAATGGGCCAGGGTTAGGAACAGCAGCAGCCCTGCCCCAGAGCAGGAGAGGAGTACTGGCCTTTCCAAGCCTGTCCCCAGAAGGGGTGACTAAGAAAAGCCTTCCTTCCTTCTCTTAAAATGGAAGCTCTGGCCTTGACCTTGGTGCATGGATCCTGGTTATTCCAACCTCCACTCCTGCTGTGATTTTAGGTTATGAAGCCCTGGAGGGCCCAAAGGAAATCAGCGGGTTCGAAGGGGACACTGTGTCCCTGAAGTGCACCTACGGAGAAGAGCTGAGAGACCACCAGAAGTACTGGGGCAGGGAAGTCAGCCTCTTCATCTCGCTGCACTGGCACCATCTATGCGGGAGAAGGCCAGGAGACAACGGAGGGCAGGGTGTCCATCTGTGACAGCCGCCAGGAGCTCTTGTTCACTGTGACCCTGCGGGACCTCACCCTGAAAGACGCTGGGAAGTACTGGTGTGGGGTCAAAAAACTGGGCGCTGATGAGTCTTCACTGATCACTCTGGTCATCTTTCCAGGTAACAAATATCTCTCCTTCCCTGGGCTGGGGACAGGCGCTGTAGAGGGAAGAGGGAGGGGTGGTGGGGCATAGCCCTGGTACCAACCTTATTGCCTCAGGGAGATCATGCAGGTCAAGCACTGAGCAAGGCCTGGGGCACAGAGGGAGCCACATTAGTCTTGGCCACTCTTTCGCTGTTGCTGCCCAGGGTACCACTAGTAGATGTCAGAGCAGGACTGGACCCAGATCTCTCCAGTGCTGGGCTCGGCGCCTTTCCTTTCTGCCCAGATGTTGTGGAGGGAGATTTCCAAAGGTTAGGTACAAGATGGACATATCAGGGGATAAAGAAGACTCCTTGCCTGGTGTCCAAGATATTCCTGAGCACAGAGCCACACCTGAGCCCTGACCATGCCGGCCTCCCTCTGCTTGTGCCCTCAACTCTGCTCTCCTGGCCTCCACCTCCCCTGATCTTAAAGTCCAGGCACAGGTGCTAGAGTGCTTGGGAACCAGCCTCTGGGTAGGGTGCCTGAAGGAGGAATTGTTAAATGCAGGGACACTAAGGGGCTGGGGCTGGAGCCATGGGGCCCGAGCAGAGGGTAGAGCACCTCTCTGGGTGTCCAGAACCCCACCTGGACTCGCTGAGCTAAGGAGAAAGAAGCCAGAGAGGGCCCAGGGCAGTGGGAGCCTTGGTCTGCTGGCCAGTGAGGGCAAGGTAGGTCTTTGTAGCCCCATTTCACAGATGAGGGACTGAGGCGCCAAGAGACTAAGTGATTTGCCCAAGGTCTCACAGCAGGAAGTGGCGGGACCAGGATTCTAACACGATCATTTCTGGCTTTGACATCTGCTTTATTCCCAAGCCCAGGCCCAGCCCCACCACCAACAGATCCCCTCATTATTACTTTATTCCTTTCTCCATGGATCTTTATTTTAATTTAGGGAAATAAAGTTAAACTTGCCAAATAGCAGCAGCATCAAACCACATTGAATCTGTTCTTCATTATTTACAAGACTCTCTTACCTCTTCCAATTCTTATCAGTATTTACAGGTCATTTTTACCAGTTATGATTCTATTTACCCTCATTTGTAATTCTTTACATATAATGTGTACATTACTATATTACCCTCCTAGCTCAGACTTCGTTGGCCTCTCTCTGATGGCAGTTGGGATATGAAATGAAGAGGCCTCATGACAGTGGTGTGCTGGTAAATGCTTAACAGGCTGGGGGATGCTCTCATTTGTAGTGTTTTTCGATTTCTGTGGTGTCAATGATCCCCCCCATGGCCAATTTCCAGCCATCCATAGTCTAACAGCTATCTCACCAATTCCTGAAAAGTTAGCTATTAGCTCTTATGAGCCAGTGCAAGCCATCTCAGCACACCACTGAGTATGGTGAAACATGAGAATTTCTAGGAAGGTCAGAAAAAGACAAATGTACCCACTATCATTTCTTTTCATTTATTTATTCATTTATTTGAGACGGGGTCTCATTCTGTCATCCAGACTGGAGTGGACTGACATGATCTTGGCTCATTACAACATCTGCCTCCCAGGCTCAAGCAATCCTCCCACCTCAACCTCCACAGTAGCTGGGACCACAGGCACAGCCACCACGCCCGGCTAATTTGTGTCATTTTTTTTTAAGGTGTGGTTTCACCATATTGGCCAGTCTGGTCTCAACTCCTGGACTCAAGCCATCTTCCCTCCTTGGACTCTCAAAGTGCTGGAATTACAGGCATAAGCCACTGCACCTGGCCAGTCTACTATCATTTTCTTTTATTCATATTTGCCTGAAGGCCCTAGGCAATGAAATATGCAAGATTAAGAAGTATAAACATTGGAAAGGAAAAGATAAATACTCTTTATTTGCAAAAGATTTGATCATTTAGAAAAATGCAAGAATAAACTGACCTAATGTTACAGAGTATTCCTAATCCAGAAATCCAAAATGCTCCAAAGTCTGAAACTTTTTGCATGTTGGCATGACACATACAAAGGAAATGCTTGTTGGGGCATTTTGGATTTCAGATTTCTGGATCAGGGATGCTGAATCAGCAGATATAAGGCACATATTCTGAAATCTGGTTCCAAGCATTTTGGATAAGGGATACTCAATCTGTAGAAGAGGGTGGTGGAGAAAGAGGGAGTCCAGGATACACAGTCAGCAAGGACTGGGAGGTGACAGTGACAGATGGACTTGGGGAAGCAGAGGACTGGAGTAGCTCCTGGGGGGTTGGTTGCATCAGGCTTCTGCTCACTGTGCTGGGCACAAAGGATAGGCATTTTGCCCACAAGGAGTCTCAGCCTAGCAGGTAGACCCAGTAAACAAGAAATTGCAGTGTAAGTGAGCATGAGCGCCACTGGAGCCATGCACAGGGAACTATGAGTGCACAAAGGAGAAGGAGAAGGCACTTCCAGCGAAGACATTACAGAGGAGTTGACCTTGAGCTTGTGCCGAAGAACACAGAGAAGTGCGTTAGGCAGAGATGGAAAGGAAAGGCATCTCACACAGAGGAACAGCAATTCCAAGGCACAGAGGTGGGCAGGAAGCTGGCTTAGTCGGGAATAAAGGACAACACTATGGCTGGAGCACCGAACAGGGAAAGAGGCGAGGCTGACAAGGTGGTTTGAAGCCTGAGTTTGGGTGTTGTTTTTTTTTTTGAGATGAAGTTTTGCTCTTGTTGCCCAGGCTGGAGTGCAATGGTGTGATCTCGGCTCACCACAACCTCTGTCTCCTAGGTTGAAGCAATTCTCCTGCCTCAGCCTCCCAAGTAGCTGGGATTACAGGCATACACCACCATGCCCAGCTAATTTTGTATTTTTAGTGGAGATGGGGTTTCACCATGTTGATCAGGCTGGTCTCGAACTCCTGACGTCAGGTGATCCACCAGCCTTAGTATCCCAAAGTGCTAGGATTACAAGTATGAGCCATTGAGCCTGATCTGAAGCCTGAGTTTAAGAGGTCTTAAAAGGCATGCGAAAGGCTGGGCGCAGTGGCTCATGCCTGTAATCCCAGCACTTTTGGAGGCCAAAAATAGAAAATTATCCAGGTGTGGTGGTGCATGCCTGTGATCCCAACTATTCAGATGGCTGAGGCAGGAGAATCACTTGAACCTGGGAGGCAGAGGTTGCAAGGAGCTGAGATCGTGCCATTGCACTCCAGCCTGGGCAACAAGAGCAAAACTCCATCTTAAAAAAAAAAAAGAAAAAGGAAAAGAAAGGCATGCTAAAAAGTTAAAACTTCAGCTTATAGGCAATGGAGAGGCACTGACTGTTCTAAGGCAGAGGGATGGGATCCAACACAGACTTTAGGGACAAAACTGACGTAGTGTGAAGGGTGGCAGGGAAGAAGCAGGCTGAGAGGCAGGTGGGGATGGTGAAGCTGAGGGTCTGAGCTGGGCAGGAGAGAGGCTAAGGGGGCTGCAGGAGAGGGCCAGGGATCTGCCAGAACCCGCCATGTGGCTCCTGGTTGGCTGAGGTGAAAGATGGCAGTGCTCTGTGCTCAGGTGGTGGGCAGGAGAGCTGCCAGCTGCTCCCAAGGAAGGAAAAGGGGTTCAGAGTGGTGCCGCCCCTGAGAGCAGCCTCTCCCTTTCCCCTAGGACCCTGCTGTCCTCCCTCCCCTTCTCCCACCTTCTAGCATATGGCTATGACAAGCCTGCAGCCCAAGGCAAAAGCTCAGCAAACCTAGCCCCCAGGACTGAGTGAGTGAATGGCTTGCCACCACTCACTGTCCCTTGCCACCCTTCTTACAGAAGCAGCCAGTGAGTGCCTGCCTGGTACCAGACATGATTTTCTTTTTTAAAGATGGGGTTTCACCATGATGGGAGGCTGGTCTTGAACTCCTGACCTCAGGTGATCCACCCACCTCGGCCTCCCAAAGTGCTAGGATTACAGGTGTGAGCCACCGTGCCCAGCCGCTTTTTTTTTTTTTTTTTGAGACTGAGTCTTGCTTTGTCACCAGGCTAGAGTACAGTGATGTGATCTCAGCTCACTGCAACCTCTGTTTCTTGGGTTCAAGCAATTCCCCTACCTCAGCCTCCTGACTAGCTTGGACTACAGGCATGTGCCACCACACCCAAATAATTTTTTGTATTTTAGTAGAGATGGGGTTTCACCATGGCCAGGATGGTGTCCATCTCCTGACCTCATGATCCGCCCACCTGGACCTTCCAAAGTGCTGGGATTACAGGTGTGAGCCACCATGTCAGACCTCAGACACGATGCTTTATGGCCACCTAGGTGTCTCACAAGCCTGGGAGCTGGGTTGTCCAGCTGTGAAAGTGGAGGCTCAGCAGGGTTAGGTCATTCACTCAAGATCGCACAAGAAGTGGCAGAGCCCAGAAATGGTCACAGTCTGACCCCAAAGCTTGTGTTCTATCTGTGCCATCCAGAGTCTCAGGGCAAGCCAGAAAGATGGGGCCTTAGGCCCTGACCTCTGGACTCATCCCTGCCACCCTGCCCTGCCTGGCCTCATGGCTACAGAAGGAGGTCAAGGCATTACTGAGGCATGGGTGGTGGGGGGTGGGTACATGATGGTGATGGGAGGGCCTGCCCTTCTGGTGAGGAAGGAGGTGACAATTGGCTGTGACTGCGGGGGGGGCGGGCCGGAATGGTCACCAGAAAGGGTCATGGAAGTGGGGATGGGGAGTGATTGTGCCTCTCCACAGAGGGAGCAGGCTGCAGACAGAGAAAGAGACTGAACATTAAGCACAGGTGTGGGGTGTGCCTGATCTACAGTCTCCTTCCTTAAAATGACTCCATCTAGATATGTTTGCTTACTGGGGTGTCCTTTAGCTGCGGATGTTCTGAGAAATTGGTTGCAGGGAGGCTAGGATACAGGGGTCAAGGGTCAGAGGTCGGGAATGCTGGGATGCAAGGGTCAGGAAGGATGATTTGCTTTTGGACTTGTAGCTTCTCCTGGGCTCTACCCAGCAGTAACCACAGCCAGGCAGAGGAAGACAGTTGCCAAGGCCACTTCATTCCCAGGGACTTCCCGATACAGGCACGAAAGAAACTCACAGTGCACAGGGACCTCTCCTCATGCAGCGACCTCTCCTCCTTCAGGGAGCTCCCGCCCCATCATGCACCTGGACTCCACCTCAGCTGAGGACGCCAGTTCTGCTCTCAGCAGTGGCAGCTCTAAGCCCAGGTGAGACCCAGGGCACCCACATCCCCTTTCAGGTCATCACTAAACCATAAGGTGCCTTTGAGCAAATAGGATCCCAGTGCTCTTTCCTCTTAGTGGACGCATCCACTTGTCATGGCCACAGCCTGCAGCTGTGGCTCTTGAGCAGTGGACAACTTGCACTGTACGACCAGTTGCCCTGCTGCCTGTCCAGGGTGAAGGGTCACCAGGGTCCCAGCCCCCACATCTCTCCCTGCCCCCACCTCAGGCATAGCCACCCCAGTCCGGGGCTCCTGCCTATATACTTTGCACCAAGCCCTGTGCCGAGCATGAAAATTCAGAATCCAAAATAAAACAACTTTTTTCCTTGCAACTCAAGTCCCAGCCTGAAGGATTGGTTCTTGGGGATTGTAACTGCACTCAGCTATCAACATCCAGGCAGCTGCTGGCAAGTTCAGACCCTGCTGAAAGTGAACCCTGGGGTTGGCAATGGGGGCAGTGGCACCTTCCACTTATTATTCAACAGGTAGCCAAGCTGGCCAACTGATACCACTTTATCTTCTAATTACTTCATATCTCATTAGTGCTTTCTCTAATGGGCCAAAAAAAAAAATGAGACAACTTCAAATTGTTAAATACACACAGGTTAGTTGTGGCAACAGGTCTGAATAAAAAAGAATTTCAAACATTTTGACTCAAGCAGATTTTCTTTTTCCTTCCACTTACTATTTTAATTATTCATGTTGTTTTAACTTCCAAAGAGACTCTTCTGGAACTATACAGAATGTTTTCAAATGCTGATATTAGAAAGAGGGACTTGCCAGTGGCTGTAAATATCAAGGAAGGACAAAAAAAAATGGATGAGTCAAATGCAATGGCTCCATTCCTTCAGAAAATGTTTGAGACTAGAGAGAGTCTGGCCTTAGTGAATGTCATAAAATCTGCACTAGTGGCAGCCTCTCCCCTTCCAGACACAAACCTTCTCTGTGTGGAGCTCCCAGTGTAAAAAGACCATTGTCGAGTGCATGGATATAGGTTCCCTCATCCATTTCAATGGCTATGGTTCCTGAAATGTCACCAGAGTTGGTTACTGTCCACCAGATTCCTAAAAAATAAAATCAATATTTAAACTTTACATTTTAGTTTTGAAAGAGTTCTTTTTTTGTTATTATAACTTAGTTTTAAAAACTTCTTATTTTGTAGTTACAAGAAATAATATAAAAATCTCACATATCCTTTACTCACTTTGTCTCAATGATGACATCTTGCATAACTACCATACACTGTTAGAATTAGGAAACTGACATTGATAAAATCCATAAACCTTACTCAGATTTCACCAGCTTTACATGCACTTGCTTGCAGGTATGTGCACAGATTCATGTGACTACCAGCACAGTCAGGATTCGGTTCTTTTTAAAATACAAAATAGCAACACACCGCCAGGCATGTGGTGCATGTCTAACTCGTTACTCTACTCGGGGAGCTGGGGTAAGAGGGTCACTTGAGTTCAGGACGTCATTATAGTGGGCTATGATCTTGACACTACACTCTAGCCTGAGTGACACAGCAAGGTCCTGTCTCAAAAAAAAAAAAAAACAAAACAAAACAAAAAGGCAATGTGTGAAGGTACAAAGTGATACATGGAGAATGGTCTCTCTCATTATTGACCCCTGCCATGTATTCATGCCTACTTCCAGAGGCAAAGCCTATTATAATCTGTTTCTTTGAAATTCCCTACAGGAAGGCTTTCCAGCATAGTAATCTTAACTATGATTTTAGATTGAAAACAAAATGAGCAGAATCTATGTCTATGTAAACTTAATTTCTAATTCGCCAATAATGTTGGACTCTAGGGAACAATTATTTAAGCAGTTGTTATAAAAGTTTATATCTTAATGTTAAAAAAGATCCTCAAATCTCCTCCTAAATTGTACTTAGGTAGAGTAAAAATGAGTTCATTGTTAACTGGATATTACAGAATTCTTAACTTTGCAAGGTCTGATAATGGCATGGTATAACATACAAAAATAAAAGAACAAAACAGATGATGAGAGAATGTTAATGTAAATGTACATGTTAAAAACTTTACATTTATGTACTTGCGGGTAAAATGAGATAATACCTATGATTTAACTTAACTTTCTAGGAAAAAAAATGTGTGTGTGCGTGTGTGTGTGTGTATGTGTGTGTAAATGAAATGAGATAGGCAAAATATTGATAATTAATGCTGGGGCATGGGTACATGGGAGATTCATTATATTCTTTTATGTATGTATTAGTTTGGATATTTCCATAATAAAAAGGTTTTAAAAACTGAGTTAATTCCACTGCACAAAATTTTCCATTCAACTAAACAATTTGTGCTTTTCATAATAAATTTTAAAATAAAGTTTTAGCTAAAATGAAGTTGGACCCTTACCTAACACCAAATACAAAAAGTAACTTTAAATGAACCAAAGACCTAAATGTAAGAGCTAAAGTTAGAAAACTCTTAGAAGAAAACAGCTTCATGACAATGAATTTGGCAATGATTTCTTGCACAGAATATGAAAGGCACAGGCAACAAAAGAAAACATAAGCAAACTGGACTTCATCAGAATTAAAAACTTTTGTGCATCAAGAACCACTGTCAACAGAGTAGAAGGCAACCCAGAGAATGGAGAAGATATTTGTAAACTACATCCATTATAAGGAATTAACATCCAGAATAAATAGAGAACTTCAAAAAGACAAATACCACAATTCAAAACTGGGCAAAGGAAGTACACAGATATTACTCCAAAGATGATACACAATTGGCCAATAAGCACTTGAAAAGATGCTCAACATCACTAGACACTAGGGAAATGTAAACCAAAATCATAATACAATGCCACTTCACACCCATTAGAATAGCAAAAAAAAAATGTTGGGCAGGATGTGGAGAAACTGAAACCCTGCGCAATGCTGGTGGGAAGGTAAAATGGTGCATGTATTTAAACGCCACTGAGGTGTACACTTTTTAAAAATAGAAAAAACGGCAAATTTAATATTCTGTATATTTTACCCCCCACATACAAAACCAATGGAAAGAAAATTAATCAAAATTAAAATTTCAGCTAAAGATATTAGCAATAAAACTAATGAGCAAGTTAGATGATTATTTGAGTTGTCTTATAGCTACAACTGTTTTCAGTTAAAAAAAATAATGCTTTATTCAGAATCATTATGAGCAGTTATGATTAGCAAGTCTTTCTTACAAATGCAATAGTTAATGATTTTAAATTATTTGTATTTTGTATGTTCCATGCCAGGTTGACCAAGTACACTTAATATTAAATTAAAACATTTAAACGTAGTAACTCATTAATGGTTTGCAAAAGAAAAAGTTTCTGGCAGACAAGCTCCTCAAAATTTTCCCACTCTGTCAAGGTAGGAAAATGATATAATAACGTTACTTATAAAACTGTGAACTGAAAAAGAAATTACTTTGAGCAGATGCCACTATTTCTTCTCAATGAGATTTCAAATAAGAAAGCTAAACATAGTATCATCAAGAATTAAATGTGAGCTATTCTACCTATCTTCTGCAAGTGGCCTACATTCAACCCTCAGAAGTATACTTGTATGTTTAATGACTAAAGTAACACAACATTTACCAGTGCCACTGTGGGGGTGTTAGCTGTGAAAAAGCAGTGGATACTAAGAACAGTGGGGACTGAAGAATTGAAGTCAGGTTATTGCTCAAGCCGTCTATACACTGCAGATGCCTAAGCTGAATCTGAAAATGCGTTCTAAAACATTACTTGCTATTTAGATACATGCTTAAAGTTATTTCCTTTTAAATCTTAGGCAGATGGTCAAATATTCCTGCTGTGTTGTCTAACAATGCATAACAGCTTTTCACATATACCTTTTCACTTAATCGTTTAGAATATAAACTCTGTGGGGGTAGGAAGCAGATTATGTTTCCGCATGCCTGTAATCCCAGCACTTTGAGAGGCTGAGGCAGGAGGACCACTTAAGCCAGGCAGTTCAAGACCAGCCTAGGCAACAGAGACCCCCATCTCTACAAAAAGTAAAGAAATTAGCTGGGTACAGTGGTACAAGGCTATGGTCCCAGCTACGTGGGAGTCTGGGTGAGAGGACTGCTTGAGCCTGGGAGGTCAAGGCCGCACTGAGCCATGATCACACCACTGCACTCCAGCCTGAGCAACAAAGCGAGACCCTCTCCCTCCCCTCTTCCCCGCAAAAAAGCCAAATGGCTGGATGTACCAGTGTCACAGCTGTTAAGATAGTACCATGGCACCCTACTTCTAGCATGAAGGCTCTGTGACAGCTCACCTCACCTTCTGACTGTCTTTCTGACTCAGGACGGCTCTGCTCGCACCAGCCCCTCTAGGGACGGCTCTGCTCGCACCTGCCCATCTCGGGACGGCTCTGCTCGCACCCGCCCATCTCAAGACCGCTCTGCTCACACCCGCCCATCTCAGGACCGCTCTGCTCACACCCGCCCATCTCAGGACCGCTCTGCTCACACCCGCCCATCTCAGGACGGGTCGGCTCACACCCGCCCATCTCAGGACCGCTCTGCTCACACCCGCACATCTCAGGGACTCCAAGGTTTAACTGAAAATCTTGTCTTCTTTACTTTGCATTTTACATGCCTGCCTTTGGTGATATCATCAGTCTGGCCCAGGAGGGAGCAAAGATTTCATGGTGCTGGTTAAAGGGAGAGTCTCCAGGGCCCGAGGTCTGAGAAGGACCCCATTCTTCAGCTAGGAAGAAATAAAACACAGATGGCGAAGCCACCCCGGGGCCACCGCAGAGGAGAAAGCGCCCATTACCCAGTGGCCACAGAATCACAGAGAATCACTGAGCTCATTTAGGAAGGAGAATGAGGTGGCACCTCTGCCGTTTCCCTCTCCCAGCCCTCCCTCTCTCTTTTTCTCTTTCTTCCTTTTATCTTGGTTTAACTGAGCTTGTTTGTCTTCAGCATCACTGGGAAACTTCATGAAACCTATGTTATCAAGCTCAATTTGCAGTTAAAAAAATCTAGTGCGGAAAGGTCAAATGAATTGCTCCCATTTGCCCAGCCAGTGTCTGGCAGCGTCGCTGGCACTGGAGTTCAGGGGTGGCTACACATTTTGTGGTCTTTCTATTCTTTCTGATGCACAAAGTTTTCATTTAAATGAGACTTATAATGCGTAACACAATTTTGAAAGGCGAAGACAAAGTGAGGCACACACTATTATGAGGCAGCCTTGCCTGCGGGAGGGAGGTGCGGATGCTCCCCGGGGACCCACAGCTGGCAGCGGACTGGGCCTGAGGACAGAGCGTGAAATACCGGTGCTTTGAGCTGTGAACACTCGTTGAATGGAAAGAGCTGTTTTCAAAAGTAAATGAGCAATACATTCCTTTCAGCTATGGAGACAAGGAGGCTGCCTGTGCTTCATGGGACCCCGCCCTTCAGATCCAGAAGACACTGAAAAGAAACGCAGGGATTTGAACCTAGGCTGGGGCTCCTGAGGCCGAGCGGCTGTTACCTCTTGCTGAGAGGATCCACATACTTGAAGCAGCACCTCACACAGCGGGTCACCTCGACTCCCCATGATGTCTGCGAGGCTTGTTCTATCTTCTTATGACCAAGAAGACTGTATGTAATTTATAAACTCCTTGTAAAGAAAACTTGAAAGCCGTTGCTTTAAGAAAATGCCCTTGGCCAATCACTCATCGGCAGGAAAATGAAGACATTTTCCACAGTCCCCTCCACCATGAGAGATCATGCAGCAATGAAAATGAATCGGGTCAGTGTGGACGGGTCTCAGGAAGAGAACGGAGGATGAAAATAGACATGGAACAAATGCTCAGAGCCAGTACAGCAGAGCAGCAGCCACACAGGAGACTTCTTCACATCAAAGTTCAAAACTGCAGCCGAGGCAACAGGGCAAGACCCTGTCTCAAAAAGACAACAGTGTTCAAAAACCACATGCAGTATTGTTTAGGGATGCGCACAAACGCGAGGAAAGAAATGCGCCACGAAGAAAAGTACAGGAATGATAAAGACAGAAGCAGAAAGCCACTCCCTCTGAAGGAGAAGGGAAGGGACTGGGATTCAGGAGG